CAAAACCAGCGATATCAAGTATACCAATAAATGATGAACCTTGTCGTTTACTTCGATCAAGCGATTTATTGATACGTGTAACAATCCATTTAAACATACGTTCATATATTGCTTTTGATATTGCTTCGACAGCATAATCAACCTAATTAAATAATTAATTAAGAACAATATTCCGTTTTTGTTTTCAATGAAACAGAAATAAAAAAGCGGATCCCGATGGAATTGAAAACGCTTAAGGTAATTAGAAAGTAAATCTTGATTTGTTGACGAACTCGAACAAACAAAAACCAACCGAAAAATATTGACATTGAATAGAAGATTAGTCGGTAGAGAAGAAAGAAGAGTAATAGTCATGATTTTCGATCGATTGAATGTCTTTCCTATGGCTAATATTAGTTTAGTCTTCTCGATCTTTCTACATGCACTCACTAACCCGAACAAACGATTGTTCATCGAAACATAATCACTCAGCCATGACGAAAAACTTACTTGAGCTTGCGTTTGTGCTTTGGTAACAAAATCTCTGCCGACTTTAAGTTTCGGTTTTAAAAACGATCGGACAAAGTCCGTTACTGGAATACCCAATAGATGACAAACTTTTTGTGCGACTGTATCATCGGGTAATGTTGCTTGATCACTATTACGTTCTTGTTTAAACAGAATATTACCCATTTGTAAAACAGCTGAAATCGTACGAAATATTGAATTTAAATCGTCATTTGACATATTCATAATTTGCATTGCTTTAACTGTATTTTGAAATTCTTCACCATCGTCAACACCAGCGATGGTTACATTTCCATGTGTTAAATAACGATAACGACTAAAATCTTCTAATAAATAATCCGTAATCATTTTTGTATTAGCACCACGTAATAGTTGATAGAAAATATGAAATGTACGTTCTTCTTTAGCTTGACGTATAGTACGAGACTTTTCCAATAGATATGTTTCAATGGATGCACCAGCAATGAAACCAGATGTGTCGAAATTAATACGTATAAATTTACCGAATCGTGATGAATTATCATTTTTAACAGTTTTTGCATTGCCAAATGCTAGAAAAGCAAAGTTTTTTTGACTTGCTCGAGAAGTTTATGTTGTTCTTTTACCTTCGAGAATTGGATTTGCTTGAAGAAGTTGAGCTTCAAGTTCACCCTAAAAATAATAAAAATGTTCGTTTTTTCTTCTTCTTTATTAAATTCGAATGTTTTACGGAGGCATCGCTTGCTTTAGTTGCACTGATGGGTTGCTAAACGAAAAGAAAAAAAAACGAAATAGAATAAATTCAATTAGAAGAAAAATTTAATCATCTTATTTACTTGATATTGATTAATATTAGTGACCGGTTGACGTTGTGAACTTTTTGGTGCAGCAGCAATATAAGCCAAATATTGAATAACTTTTTTTGTATTTTCAGTTTTACCCGCACCAGATTCACCTCTTGAAATCAAGAAATACAAAACTTATATCGAACAGAAATATTCCTAGCGAAAATATCTTACGTGCATAAAATTGATTGATCTTCACGATTTTGTAACATTAAACGATATGCATCACCAGCAATAGCAAATATATGTGGTGGCATTTGTTCACGTTTTTTTCCTTTATACATCTCGATAACATTTTCGGAATAGATTGGCAAGCGTTTATATGGATTGACAACAACACAAAATAAACCCGAATATGTATAAATCAATCCTGAATAATAACGTTCTTTAAGATTATATAATACCGATGCATCATTTAAACAAGTTAATTCTGACATATCTTCAATTTTACTGAATTTCGGTGGATTTACACGTTGGGTATCATCTTTGTGTATGGTAACACGTTTACCATTTTCTAAATCGACTAATAATTGTCCATCCATTTGTTCTTGTCGTACTTGACCACGAACGAAACCTTCGTGTTCATCAGGTACCCAAACGAATTTTTTTGCAGCCCATTCATTAGCTGTTGTTGCATCTGTAATACTATCTTTTGAAGTCATATCTGTTGAACGTAAATATTTCATTTCAGCTGGTTCATGACCATTGTCCATTACACCACCTGATTTATTATTTGTCGGTGTAGGCATTTCTTTTTTTTGTTCAAATCTAAAACACGAAGAAAAAAAAGTTACTTCTATGAATGCATGTGTTCGTATGTGTGTATTCTCGTCGATTGGATGCATTGAATGTATAGAGGCAAAAGAAAACAGTTCATTCGACAGGACAGCGAGGTGCAATCTTGTACGTGTGTGCATATGCTCGGTCGAGATGTGTTCAGCGAGAGGAGGGAAGGAAAAAAAAGAAATGCATTTCTTTGATTATATAATCTTTCGAGCTATTGCAGACATATATAATAATCATAAATAATTGAGACCTTGTGACATACACTCATCATTGTGATGACAGATCTTCAGTGTTATGAAATATGAAGAAAAAAGAAAATTTTTTTCTAATAACTTATCTATACAATACAGACCACAAAAAAAGGGATGTTGTGTGAATGTATTAAAACTAATACAAAAATAAACAAGCCATAATATATATATATATATATGAAGCGAGGAAAAGTGCTTTTATCTCTTCTATGTAAAACAGGGAGAAAATGGCACGCGTTTTTTAGTTTAACATTATTATGATTCTTTTTTATGATTCACATTTATGAAAAAGAATGGAGGCGGAATGACGCATCATACAGAATAAATGTTAAATGTGAATATTTGACTGTGTAGGTTGAAGATGCATTTTTCTTATCGAATTTACCATACTTATTTGACAACAACGAAACTATCAGAACACGATTTTCACTTACGAAAGTAGTAACCGAGCCTCGTATATCTATTATCACATTTGTTTGACAAGCAAAATAGAATCCATATAAACGAAAAGAAACCGAAAAGGCTTTTTTTCGCATATTTGTATTTTTTCAAGAACGCTGTAAATACCAGTTAGTAATGCAAACAAGTCGATTCGTGCCGAAACAAAATACAGACAATGGAGAGAGAGAGAGAGAGAGAGAAAGAGAGGGGAAAAAATGTAAGCAGATGCCTTATACAAACTATCGAGAGATAATCCATCTGTATGTGTATGTTTGTGTGAAAGAGACTAAAGTACTCGTGATTTACTCTTCTTTTTTTTTCTTCTTCATCGCGTTTGTACACTTCTTTTCGCTTTAACAAATACATACACACTCGATTTTTTTTCGGTCAAGTCAAATAGAAAAGAATAAATGGTTGTTTGAGCCGAAAATAACTAAATACGCGTATGTACATGTTAGAGCTTTACTTTTGTCTTCTTCGTTCGTTTCATTCTCTTCTTTTTTTACTATTTCTGTGTTTTACGACATAATACAAATACTTTCGATAGCTAAAAAAAAGAAAAAAAATTTAATCAAGAGTTAAAAAAACGCATAGAAACATCAAAAGTCAAATAGTAAAATAAACCCTCGGCATATTTACACAAATCAAAGATCGATTATTTCTCAGCTAATAGTAAATATACAAATTCAATAGATGAACCGAGTTAGATATCTAAGGTAAGCCATATTAAAAAAATAAAAAAGGAGAAAACAGAAAGAGAAAAAGGCCTATGATCCTGTTAATAATGTAGACACAAAACACTTCACGTCTCGCCTGTTCCTCTTTTCTCCTCTGATTTTTTTTTATTTCTCTTATTCGCACTCTGGACGTCGATGTCAGCGAGCTTCGCTTTACTTTGTAAGTGTTTCGAACGAACATAAATATGAAGAAAAAAGATCGAAACATCGAAAATTTGATACATGCTCTCTCGCATACTTCATTGCCTATATATATATATATATATAGACACGCATACATCATATATGAGACTGATTACTCTCTCTCTCTCTCTCTCTTTATCTATTCTTTGTCGTTTTCTGACTTCAGTTGTTTTTAAATTAGAACCAAAAGAAAGAATTCCTAAAAACAACAACTGTTAATCATTATTAAATAAATAAGAAAAACTATTAAAAACAAACAAATACTTGCCTGTTATGCACTTATACAGGCGAACTTAAACGAAAGAATTGAACTATAGTGAAAGAAGACGAAGACGAAAAAAAAATCTTCAAATAAAGAACGTCCAATCGAATCCGAATATTACCTCAAATAAGAGCGACATCATTTTTTTAATTGAAATTTTTTCTTTTGCTAAACCAACACTTCATAATTATAATAAATCAAGAATAGATTTGATTTGAAACGAAATAATCGATTTTAATAGATGTCACTCAGATCAAAACTTTTGTTCAATTTATTATAATTTGAACAATTGACAGATCATCTCTTATCATAGGGAGATTATTATGGATTAGACCTTAAACAAGTGACTCTTATTGGTCACGTTTTTCAATTCATCATTTCGTCCTGTAGAATATCCATTCCATTTTGATATTAGTAACTATTTTCAAACGAAATTCATTATCATTAATGTAGCTCATTAAAAGAATATGTCTCTACAAATTTGAAAAGTAATATCAACATAAGCTTTGATTTGTTTTTTTTTTGAGTGTTGTATATAAATTATTTTCACATAAAACAAAAATCGTAACGACAAGTAAAGAATATGAATTATTCTTAGAATGCGAAAATAATAAGTCAATATTTTCGTATGAAAATATGTGCATATTAGTCATGGACACACATATTTCATTCATTCACTGATTAGTCATTGATAAAATAGATTGAAGAAGACTGGGGGTGTTTTTTTTTTGTATTATAATAGTGTATGAATTGAAATAAAATCATTGAAGGTAGGCGGTGTGTATTAAGATTTGATTTTCGAATTAGAAAAAGTCTTAGTTTACATGAGTAATTTTATCTTGCGAATGCTTCGAGCAATGTAACACGCTATCAATGATTATGGTTGTGTCCTTCAAGAAACTTACTACACTTTATTATTATTTTTTTTTTTTGAAAATTCATATGATTAAACTAAGAGCTGTAGCTTGATTATCACCATCACCATAGATAGAAAGAGAGGAATGAAAATTTATAATGGTCCAAAATCTTTTTTTGTGTTCAATGTTGGATTCCATCCTGTATTTTGTGGCTTTTTTTTACCATAACGTGCTATATCTTTCATATCATCATCAGATATTGTAAAATCAAAAACAGCCATATTCTCTTTTAATCGTTCGATGCTCGATGATGTTTTTGGTATTGTGATAAAACCATTTTGTAGTGACCAACGAATAAGAATTTGTGCTGGCGTTTTACCATATTGTACAGCTATTTTCTGTAAATATGGATCATCAAGAAAACGTGCTTTACCTAATGGTGAATAGCCCATAATAGCAATATTATTTTCTCGACAATACTCAACAATATCTTCATTGGGCCACCATGGATGTAATTCAATTTGATTAACAGCCGGTACGAAGCCAGCTTGTTTCAGCCATTTCAAATGCTGAACACCAAAATTTGATACACCAACCGAACGTATTTTTCCTTCGCTTTGTAGCTGAAGTATTTCTCTATAGACTTCAAGTACATGGCCACCTTGAGGAGCATGCATAAGATACAAATCAACATAATTAGTATCAAGTTTTTGAAGAGAACGATTAAATGATTTATGAAGACCTTCACGACCGTCATTAGTACGAAAAAGTTTTGTGGAAATGAATATTTTTTCACGTTCAATATTATTCTTCATAGCTTCGCCTACTTGAGCTTCATTGCCATATATTTCAGCTGTATCAATTAGTGGATAACCAAGACGAATCGCATCGGCTACGATTTGCGTCGTTTTTAATGTTGATGCTGCTTGATACAAGCCTAAGCCAAATACTGGCATTAAATGACCATCGTTTAATTTAATTTTAGATGTAAATGACCAAGACATGACTTTCTAGAAATGCAGAGATTTAATGATTTTTTTTAGACAATTTGTAATAAGTCAATTCAATCAAAATAAGGCTTTGAATTTAATTTCTGAGAAGATGATACTCTTGTCTGATAAAATTAATCAAGAAATACACGCAAGCTGAAATGAGCAACAAAAAATAAATATGTGTATTGTAGATTTCGAAATAAGAAAATTTATTTTGTTATTATTATTATTATTATTATTATTATTATTATTATCGGTAATAAATGCATTCGAAATTACTTCGCACATAAAGCATGTACATAAGTCTTATCGTTATATTTACAAACACAAAAGAAAAAGAAAATCGATTTGATCTAAGAAGATTGTGACACATGAGAAGTTGATAAATCAAATTCATCTAGTTCATTTGACTTTTTCTAAATAAATAGAAAAAAGTGAAATTCGAACTTTCCATCAAATACATACAACCCATACGCCAGATCCACCATGTTCAAATGCTTGATTCACCTTGAAATAAACATAAGAATAGGTTTTCCTATGCAAAAAGAGAAGTCCTACCTTCATTTTAGCTGTTTGATAATCTACAGCTAATTGTTTAGCTTCATAGTAGTTCTTTGGTATTGTCTCTGATTGAATTTTAATCATTAAATTTATCCATTGACGAAATAAAACTGCTTTCGATATCAACGATGGCTCACCTATAATTATACATCAGTAAGTTAATGATTTTTTTGTATACCAGAAAAAAACCTCTCAATGCTATGATATCGCATCCTGGTTACAACAACTTAGGGAAGGAAATAACCAGAAAATTTTCGAGGCTAATTTATACTAATTATTTCCAGGGAAAATGAATTCTGCTTCATATCGAGGAATTAAACCAAAGAAAAATCTAAATATATCTTACGTGATATTGTCAATCCACTAAAACTATCGATTACTTCACATTTTCTATCAATACAATTCCATATAAATGCATAATTTGATGGTCGAGTTTTATTTCGTAATTCTAAACTGCTGATATCTGAGATGAATGGTTTTCGTAATCCATATGGAGCTGGTATATGATTTACTTTCTAGAAATACTTATATAATTATACAATCTTCTCTAGATTTTCTTTTGTATTTACATGTTCTATTCGAGAAAATAATGCTCGTCGAATATGTTCCCTATGATATAGACTTCCTATGATAACACTTGTATAATAGATTGGATCAATTAATGTACTTAATAAAGCTCCTGCAAATAGAAATGATTCGAATTTTAGAGATCGACATATTTTTCTACCTTGTAAACCAATAAAATTCCACCGACATAATTTATCGGAACAAGACATCGTAGAAAGTTGTTCATGAGCTAATGTTTCATCCCATTTTTGTATATGTTGATACATAGATTTAGCTGAAACAGGAATGGTACCTTCGCTAAGCTCAATTTTTCGTCGTAATAATCCGCGAGATTTTCTCAATGAATTTTGATTGACATTTAAAAATGATGTTCTTTCAGACGAAATTTCTTCTGGTGAAAAAATTCGACTATCACCACATGGCGCTGTAGAAATATATAAATGAAAAGAAATCGATGCTTTCAGTTTATATCGATTGGCATTATTAATTTTTTCAAAAATCGATTCATTCGAATTTTCAACAAGCAATAATTTCAATTGCTCATAGCAATAACGCATAAGACAACGGCGTGCTAATATTTCAGCATGGCAATCATTTAATTTTTGTCCGTTTCGTGCTAAACGACTACTACGAATACATTTCGTACCGGTTGTTATACAAATGACTTTCATCGTTTCGAGATTATAATCACGTAGAAGAACAATACCAGATAAAACTTTACGTCGTTGAAGACGTACATCATGTTGAGTTAATAGTTTAAATTTTTCTTGAATACATGCAGCAATTCGATCAGCAAGACTATCAGTGTCCAGAGATGGAAGATCTACGAATAAGAAATGATCGAATACGATGAAGCACTTTTTTCAACATAATTATTTTGCTCAATAGTTTATGCATAACGTGTTTTTTTTTAATAGAAATTCTATTGAAGATAATACTTGAGTGTTTTTCTTTTAGTCAAGAAAAGAGTTTTATGATTTCATAGAAGTGGAAATGAAAAGCTCGATTACTTTAAGTACATCCGATTCTTTCACTTGAAAGAACAACGACAACAACAAAATAAACAAAAGTAAGTATTTTTAAATGTCACATTTCGTAATAATGAATTTATCAAAGAAGAAAAGAATTTTTTCTATTACCTTCTTTATGAAAACACATGCCAAATAATTTTTCTAAAGCATATTCCGCTGCTTTAATTTTAGAAGCATTTTGATCGTGTCCTATGCCAATAAAACATTGATCATCAATAAGAATAGTAGTTTTAAATTCATTGGATTCCGATATTTTTTCATTGATAATTTCTTCACATTTTAGATTTTGTTTCAATTGTGTGAGAAGATAAAATGGATTTTGATCACATCGATTCTCATTTGAATCAGTATTAATATTCGTTGGTATGACTTCATTTGTTACATTACCCAACAATGAAAATGGTAGTTCAGAAAATGATTGAAGTGCTTTTTCAGCAGCTAAAAACAAAGAAAAAAACGGTACGAGTAGCCATTAAATTTAATGAATCTTCTTTACCTGCTTGTTTGGCTTCTTTCTTTGTTTGAGCGATGCCTTCAAATACTTGCCCATTAAATTCAACAGCCATAGTAAACATAGGCCGATGAGATGGACCTGTTTGTGCAATAAGTTTGTACTCAATTGACGGTTTAAGTTCGTGTAATAGCATAATTGCATTTTTCGATAATTTTGATGGGTTATTATTAATTACAGTTGGCAATTTAGGATGTTTTTTTTCTTGTATATCATGTTGATCGTCACGTGTTCGTTTAAATCTATGAGTGAAAGTTGTTTGTCGATGAGTAGTATATCGGACTAAAGATAGAAGAAGAAGAAGAAAAAAAGCAATGTCTCATCATCTGTTGTAATTTATTTATTTTGACATAATATTAGATTACAAAATAATTCAATGTGACAATAAATAATAGACGAACGAACTGGTACCACTTGTCGATATTGATTATTATATGCCTCTGGAGGAGTCATATTATTTCAAGTTTACTTAGGTTTTTCTTATTATTAGACAAACTTACATTTGCTGTTTGTGACAAAATTGAATCGATTGTTTAAAACGGTTGTATTATATAGCGGAACTATTGAAGACGATAAAAAATGTTCTGCTGGTAAAGGACCTACGAAAGTTGTTGTTGTTGATGATGATGACGATGATAAAGGCATATATAAAACATGACTAAATGGAAGCATAGGCAGACGATAATAGTCTTGATTGAAAGTGTAGTATGTGTTAAGTCGATCAGTAGAAATGGATTTTGTTACTAGGATTGTCTCCTATTTCTATTGAATGTCAAAAGATGGAGAAAAGGTTTTCTTTTTCTTTTTTCTTGGGCCTCTCTCTCTCTCTCTCTCGTTCTCTAGAGGAGACAAACGATTTAATATAGATCTGTATGTTGACAGCTTTTCTTTTTTCTTGCCCTTTCTCTCTCGTTTCTCAGAAGAGAACAAGGAATAAGATTTTGCGAAAAAGGCATCATACATTGATTTTCGTTTTTTCAACGTCTAGCACTAGTGTTTTTCATGACTATATGATTAATAATCGTTATTCGTGTAAGATTTGTTTCTTAATGCGATTTCAAATAGACGAGGATAATCAAGACATGATTAAGTCCTCAACATATATACCATTCTCGTAGTAATACATTAAAATCAAGACTAATTTATTTTCTAGACTCTACGGGATACTTGGAAACGAGATCCTGACGCTTTCCTTCAATATCTACTTATCATCATTAACTGAATGATACCGTTGGTCTGTGTAATATCAGTTATTTTTCTTTCTTTCTTTTTTGTTTTATCTCCGAAGGGCGAAATCTTCTGCACAAACAATCTTCATCTGTTAATCATGATAGAAACCAATAGGTGTTTTCATTTCTCGATTGTTTTTATTTTTTCAGTTATCAAGCTTCGTTCTGTTTAGATAAACATAGTGTCAGAAAAAGAAAAAGGCATTTGATCAATAGTAAATGACTTGTTGATTTAAGCGCTGTTATTGACTTTGTTAAATTGCGTATTTTTCTTTTTTTTTCTTCCCGAGAAAAATTTCTGTTCGGTACACAAGTTAATCAAGTAAATGACTATGAAAGAATAAGAGTCTAATGATCAAGTGAATGAATTTTATTTTATTTGTATAAAGCATTCGTGTACCTTGATTATTTTTCCTACATCGTCAATCGATGTTAATCTTTCAATATAAAAGTAACCGGAAACGAATATTCGAATATCATTATTTCTTTTCTGTTGAGTTTTTTTTTATTGTGAATTCCAATTCATTAATCTAAAATAGATTTCACTATAATAAGTTTCTCTTCATAGCAATTATTCCATCAACTATTATATTAATTTGACGTTTTGGCAATTATTGATACTGTATCAACACTAATATACAATTCATACGATATTTCCTTGGGTTTGTTCTAGATTGATGCCGAAAAGGAAAAAGAATACATAACAATTAACTGGTACCTTTTTCGTTTTCTCTATAAACATAAATTTCATTCGTGTCCTACCTGACTATGTTTTTATTGGAACAGAGAATTTTCTGCAATCTAGTACATGAATAAACAGAGCGTCACGGTCTACTACATTCACAAAAGCGTCCATTCAATGCAAAGCTATGACTGAAGCAAATAAGATTTCTGCCAATTCGTTTAAATGCATTTTCTCCAGTGTAACGAAATACAATCTAAATTTCGTTGCCGAAAACTGTTACATGCCATGCTATTTTCTTGACAACAATTTCATTGGTCAAAATGATTTCTCTCATTTTTTTCACTTTGATTGTGGCGCCAATAAACATTTTTGAAAAAGAAAGAATTTAGAAGAGAATGCAAAATTCAATTTTCTATGGTATTTTAAATATTTAATTTCATTCGCTTTCAAAATTTTAATTGTCAATCGAAATGACTCATGAGAACAAAGAATAAACATGACTCATTTTGTATCTTATTTTTTCGTATTACTCATTTCATGTTATCATTCTCAAGCCATAAATGTGAAACTCTATAGCAGTCTTTTGCTCCATTCGTACCTTTTTTTATCTGTTAAATTCTTTGGTCTAAGAGTGTTGACTGAACAGACTCGAGAATTTTCTTTAGATATTTCGTTTTCTACATTTTAGATTTTATTACTATTTGAGAAACCATGCCCAATGATAAATGGATAGCCGATTTGAAAACCGTGCTTCAAGTTGCTAAAGCACGTCTCGATGTACGTGAAAAGAAGAAAACTGAACAAGTAGCAAAAGAACGATATGTTGTTGCTGATTATATTCGCAACAATAAAGTTCCTCGTGCTCGAATTGGTAAAATGCTTTTCTTTTTCATGAAAAGTAAACATCAACTTCATATTTCTTTAACTATTTAGCTGTTGAACATCTCGTTCGCGAAGATTACAAAATTGAAGCAATGGATCGTGTTGAAGCTTATCTTGATACGCTTCTTATGAGAATGCAATTGATCAAAGATCGTCCGTATGTTGAATTTTATTTCGTTATCAACTGATTTTATACAAAAAAAAAACATTTAGAAAAAATGGTTCTGTTGATCCAGCTATAGAACAACCATTAGCGAATGTTTTATGGGCTGCACCATTTCTTACACAAGATATTCCTGAACTTGGTCAACTAACTCTAATGTTTAAAAAACATTTTGGACCAGAGTAAAAGACTAAAAGCTTTTTCTGTGGATTGAGATTCATTCCTTTAATTCATTTAGATATGTCGCAATGTGTGAACAAAATAAAATTGGAATGGTTGATGTTGATCTTTTACGTTGTTTAAGTTGCGATCTTATTCCGAAATTACTTATTGAAAAATATTTAGTGGAAATTTGTCGAAGTCAAAATGTTCCATTTGAACCCGATTCAACTATCATGGCTCAGGATGAATTTTGGACGATTGGACAACGTTATGTTCAATCAACACCTACTACTGATGAAAAAAAATTACCACCACCACCACCGGCATCATCAGGTGGAGGAGCTTCATCCGCGGGTGGTAGTGGCGGTGGTGTTGGAGGTCGTATGGAATATCCAGTTGTTCCATCAGCTCAACCAAGTGCACCTATGGTATGTTTTGCTTAAGTGTAAAACTAATTCTATAAGAGAATGCTTGAAATACTAAGTAAAATGTATCCCTCTAATATTTAACAGTATGATAAACCACCTCTGGCTTATGTAGGTGTAAGTGGCTTTTCTCGCTCGCTTTTTTGTGTGATAAAAAAAACTTAGTTCATTGAAATTTGACGTTTAACGATTTGCTGTTTTTTTCTAGCCTCAACCTCAATATCCAAACATTAATTTTGCGCCATCAATACCACCCCCATCGTCATCCTCAAATGCACCACGTCTTGGTTTCAATATGGATCACAGCCCTAAAGTACCATTTCATGATCCATTTCCGCAAGTTCCCAATTCAAATGATCAATCAACACCTCCTGCTCCTCGTGGAGGTTCAGATGATCCTGGTTTTGATGATTTAGCTCGGCGATTTGAAGATTTAAAAAATCGAAAATAAATCACTAATGATTATGTATAAAATAATATAACTATTTGTTTATTCGTTGTATTGATACATGAACAAATCTGTATTCGCTTTATCCTATTTTCGCTTTGTTATTGTTCGATTAATTTTACTAAAGTTTCTTTATTTATATAGACACATGTGCTTCGTTTTCTTTTTTTGTCATTGATCATTTTCGGTGATGTTTCAATGTATAAATTAAGTAGACACAAAAAAAAACATTTTATTCTCATTACCAATAATTAGATTTTAAGAGACAAAAACAAAATACTTCTTGTAATTACTATTGTCAATAATAATAAACATCTTATTTCACTTGTAAATAGAAAACCTCTTCGCAAAAATAAATTTCTACAAACAAAGGCAAGAACATCTTCTTGCATGTCTGTAGAATTTCATTGTTTTGTTTAACTATAATCTCGAGTAATTGCTTCGCTATCGTAAAGTCATTTGTTCGTGTCATTAAAAGATTCACTTGGTAAGCACGTTAATACACAGTACTAGTTTATCCTATTGTCTTTTTTACCTATCACATTTTAGTCATCTATATGGTCATGTCAATCAAGTAAAGTGTATCGATACAATCTTTCTTGAATGAACTATATAATACATAGTGAGAGAAAAGTAGACATCTCGATTATTTCAACTGATCGTTTGCAAAAGAACAAAAATAGACAAGATTCATTCTCAGACATGATTCTGTCATATTGAAAAGATGAGTTTATCAGACGATGTTTATATTTTGCACTATGATAAACAATACGCGATATTATCATCATCGATCAATGTCTTGTATTGCATGACTTTTATTTTTAAGACACAAACGAATAGTTAAAGAATTCTTAAGAATACAGAGAGTTAATTTGAAACTGTTTGTTTAATTACTCCACCTCCTATTGTGTTGAGTGACTCTTGTGTTATCAAGCGAGCGCATCTTTCATTCGTCACTGTGTTCATTCGCACACGACGATGATAAACATCCGTCCTCATATTTCACGCTCAGTTCAATTACATGTGTGATGAGTATGAATGATGTTTCTAATTACTCCCTTGCTGTGTCTCATCTCACGCACGAATGGTTTATCAACAATAGTGTGATTTTTTAGTCAAACAACGATAATTCATTGTTTTAATGAATCATGATTGGATAAAGAAAAGAAAAGAAAAGAAAAAAAAGAAGATTTTCTAGCGAAATTAAACATTTTCATTGCACATTATCTTACTTACATAAACTGAAATATTACCATTGAGAATTTCGTTCTATTGGAATATTTTTGCTGATTTACTTTTTAATTAATATCAAAAACACGAGCGTGTCGGCGGTAGATTTTTTTCTCTGCACATTATGGGATACAGTTTTTTTTTTCGTTTCTATTGGCGAGACGATCATGCTATTTTGATTGGTTTCATGAAGGAGAAAAAAAAACAGAACGATGAAAGAGATACATTATTTCTCTTTTCTTTCACATCAATGATGATTTAATTAATCAGATAGAAAAACTACGAAAGCATGTTGTGTCCATCAAATAAATTCGCTCTTACACTCAATCAATACTTTGTTGAAAAAGTCATACCACGTAAGAATTCAATTTACAAAGCTGTCAGAGAAGTATCGAAAGTTGTTACTGAAGTTTTACAAGAAGTCGAAGCACAAGAACCAAGATTTATTTCATCATTAAATGAAACTAATGGTCGTTTTGAAGGTCTCACTGTTAAATCAGAAACTGAATTCGAAGTAAATATCTCTCCGTAGCGATGACAAAGACGGAGTTGCTACTACGTTTTATTTTTTGTTTTGTTTCACTAAAGGTTGTTCTCTATTTGAATCAAATGGGTGTGTTTAATTTTGTTGACGATGGTACAATACCTGGTTGTGCCGTTCTAAAATTATCCGATGGTCGTAAACGTTCGATGTCACTTTGGGTCGAATTTATAACTGCAAGTGGTTATTTATCAGCGCGTAAAATTCGTTCACGATTTCAAGCTCTGGTTGCACAATCATGCGAAAAATGTCCATGCCGAAGTTATGTACAATTATTAACTGATACATCAGAAGTACGTCTTCGTATACGCGATAAATTTATTGTGCATATTGTACCAGCATTTCGTTGTGCTGGCTTATGGCCACGTTCAGCTTCTCATTGGCCATATTCATCAACACAATTTTCCATTTGGCCTAGTCCAAATCAAGTTAACAACGTTAAAAATGAGGGTTTTAATATTCTATCGAAAGAATCAATTTATATGAAAGATAAACAAGCGAGTTCAGAAGGTGATGCATGGATAATGTCATTCACAGAAGCCGAAGACCATCTACTACAAAATGGTACCAGGCGTAAATGTCTTTCAATTTTGAAAACATTATGTGATCGTAATTTTGATGCAACACCAGTAACAAATTATGTATTGAAATCTTTAATTTTATATGAATGTGAAAAACATCCAAACGAACACGAATGGTCTGATGAACAAACATTAGGCGATCGTCTTAATGGTATTTTATTACAATTAATATCGTGTTTACAATGTCGCAAGTGTCCACATTATTTTTTACCTAGTGTAGATTTATTTAAAGGTAAATCTGTCCAATCATTGGATTGTGCTGCTAAACAATGTTGGCAATTAACTCGCGAAATGCTTATTAATAGACAATGTTTTGATAAGTTATAAAAAAATCAAACAGTTTGTGATTTTTCTTCTTCGCCTTCTGAATTCATCAAGATAAACATTTTTTAGCAAAATAAAAATAAAATATGATCTATTCTTGTTTACCTATGGAGTATCTTCAAAAGAAGAACAAGACGAATATTGATCTTGACACAATGTGTCATAATGAATTAAGATACTATTCATCAAATAATGCATCGTTTGCTTTTATACATTAGTCATCGAGAACGCGATGTAGTAGTATTGATTATACCCCGCTGTTCAATTATTTTTCGTCAGTTAATTTAATTTAACATTCTCCCGATCAATTCTACTATTGGCTAGTCAGCGTGTTTTAATTTACAAATGATTCCAAGTCTTTAGCAATGCAAAATAAAAATCAAAGAAGCAACATAAAACTCAAATAGAGAAACACAAAAGCAGCTAGATACAAATACATATACATTTACGTATATGTTGAAGTTCGATTTAACCGATAGATACAGTAACATTAATAGCTAAATTACCATTTTCACTAAATAGTAATGCTGTAGCTCCATCAAATACCAGACAATCGCTCAATAGTATAGCTTGTTGAATACCATCATGAATAGATTTCGGTGTACTTTCCCATGTTAATCGTCGTTTGCTACCATTTAATTCTAAACGATAAACAAATTTTTCTGCTTGTTGTCGACTACCAATTAATTGAACAATAGCAAAAAATTGCTGTTCTTGTTTTTCTAAAACAAGCATAAAATGATGTCCGAAACATGATTGCATCATAACCTTAATAAAACAAATATGTATATATATTATTAAGAAGTTCATCTCTTATTTTAATATACCCAATCGACAGCTCCGAGTAAAGTTATATCAGTAGCTAAGAATACAATATCTTCACCTTGTAATGTTGTTATTGATTTATGTGCTAACCATAGATGTTGCATTACATTTTCAAGACTACCTTGCCATTTACACGATGCACCTGGGCACGGACACATGTACTAAGAGATAAAGGAGAAAACAAACATATATATGTATATATATACAAAATTTTTTTTATAATAAATCATTTTACCGGACGAAAATCACAGCAATCTTCATGTTCTAATTTATTTTTATGTACTAAATTTGATAGACAACCATTGGTTTGATATTTACAAGGAAATACTATTGTATCAGCTACTTTTTCCATACCCAGATTTCGAATGTTACCTAAATATAGAGTGAAGGTAGACAGGATATTCAAATCAAAGCGAAATCATTAGTGAGACAATAGAATATGGAACAGATGAAAAACAAATAGGCTTTTGGTTCGTTAGCTTTTATCTTACCTAATGGTCCACGACATGTTGGACACGACGAAAGTTTTTGTCGACATTGTGAGCAAACAATATGTCCTGATTGACATTGAAGAATAGGTGGTAAAGCATAATCGAAACAAACAGGACATTCAAATAAATTGACTAGATCTTGATGTTGATTTGAACTATTCGATGTTGAATTGTTATTACTATTTCCTGTTGTTATATTACATGATGCTGCTGTAGCTGATGATAAACTTCCAGCTGGCATTAAATTTGTATTAGAATTATTTACTGTTGTTATTGATTGGCAATTAGATGGTGTTGATAAATTGATTGAACAAGTCGTTGTACTAGGATATGATGCGTTTGCATTTGGAGCAATAGCTGCACCAAGACGATCGTGAACAGTAAACGTTGTTGAATTTCCATTACTGTTGTTTTTCATCATCATCATTTATAGATATTTTACAGTAGACAAAAAGCAAAAACAATAATATACAGAAAATGAATGGCGTGATTATGAGAAATAAAAGGCTTTGTGCTATTGTATGACAATTGACAGGGTCCTTTTCACTGTTTTATGAGTTTAAATAAATACGAATATATAACAAATCCAGTTCGTATCGAAGCCTTCCGATTATCATTGATATCAAAATTGAATATATATCATTATATTTCGTCATAATCTAGGCCGCTAGACTTTTTTTACATAATAATATCTTATAAAAAAACGACTTGTTTTGAATAAATTTTGTTGTACAAGGACAGAATAAATAAACATATGAAATATGATGAGTCATTCGATCGTTTATACCAATCAAATAAGTACTTTCGTTTATTGCTGCTGACATCTATAATATTAAAAACAAAAAATTAAATTTCTTTTCCATGTTGCATAACAGAAATTCATCTAAACGGACTATTTTTGTATTTAGGTTGCGATTATGCATGCCCTAGTCAACTTTCCCTAGAAGAATCCCCAGGGAGTCCCCTGACAAATCCCCAGGGACTCACGACAGGGAGTCCCTAGGGATTTCGTTCTTTTGCGGGGACTCCCTGGGGAGTCGTTGGGGGAGAGTCGATTAGGGTGTAGTTTAATTAGTCTTTTCAGTGAATTCCACTTCGACTGGTTTATGTCGTATATTAGATCCTAATCGAGCATATAGTAGAGTACATTAGATTTATGGAACTTGAGAAAATCCAAAATGGTCATGCACACAGAATCAACATATCCAAGTGAGGTTTACAGGGTTACTCCAGTCGAAATTATACGATCAAACTTTTATTGAACCGCCAGGTTTTGTTTTTCAATTCCAGTAAATTACAAAATGCTTTATTTCGCTCAACCAAGCTCGAGGGTGTGGGTGCGGTCGTGGGCCTCGAGCTGAGCTATAGGAAGATCGACACCCACATCCATACCCTTCTATAGAATTCGTTTTGTTGAAAACAATCACTTGAGTCCGGATTTTCCGAAAGAGCTATTAGGTTCTCCATATCGTATAACAAACCATATCTTCCAGTCAGGATAATACAACCCCATGTCGAACTCACCCCATCGGATCCGATGAGAATGCGTCGGAAGTCGTCGGAATCCTTGGTATTGGATTCCGACAGGAAGTTGTCGGATGTCGGAAAGTGTCGGATTTTTAGGGTTCCGACAGGGTCCGGATCATTCAGGCGTTTCTCGACATCCGCCAACTTCCGACGAATTCACATCGGATCCGATAAAACCCGATAATATTCCGCTAGGATCCGACTATCGAATTGTTCTTCCTGGGACAATTTCCGATTACTGAGGAAGTCAACTTCTGCTCGAAACACCCATGCACAGGTGAGGCTCGCGCCTCACGGGTTTCAGTGACTCCACCGCCACTGCAAAGTCATTGATACAATAGCTATAGTTCTTCTGCTAAACATATTCTCAAATAGTTTGTATACGTTTGTAATTACATTTATTTGTTTTCATTCTTATTCATATTGTACCCCAGGGTGGATCTCTTGTCATGGGATATTAAAACCTAGAAAATGCAATCAACATAGTTTTTGTTTATTACAGAAAAGAAAAAAAAGACACCTTGAGTTGAAATATCTCACTAACGGTTAATATTAAAAATTAAGTGTTGCATTACCCAGATCGAACAGTCTGGCCTGGAAACGGCCGGTGCCGGGTACTTCCGTTAATTTTGTGGAAGCAGTATTCAGGTTGGAAAATTTCCGGATTTTTTCCGGTGATTTCCGATCAATTTTTGCCGGAAAGCACCGGAACTTGGCAGGAATCCGTCGGAAAAGTCTGGCCGTATTTTTGACCGGAATACTGCTTCTATGTTCGAGCGATTTACCATGTTTTCTTGCAGGATATAGTGACTTTCCCGCATATTTCCTGGAGTATTCTACGGCACCCGGACTTTTTGCGAAAAATACTAGACCAGACGTGGTGACATGACTAGAGCAAGGACTAGTCTCTTTTTTTATCTGCCCTTTACTTTCCTGGGTAATATAGAAGAGACCCTACTCAGGGTCTTTCCACATTATTATTGTAAGTGGGTAGTATGGTTACCCGTTACAGTCCCCAAACATAAACAGACGCTGTTCACTTAAGATGCTCCTGCTTTTCTTTCGCTCACATCAATAAGCGCAATAAATGATTACTTAGACTGATGAAGTGAATGCAGGTGGTTGTGTAAATAGGAGAAAGCGCCAGCCTCACGTTTACTTCTGATATATGAACTCTGTTTTTTTTCCGCTTTTATTGTCAGTGTGGTGAAATTACCATTAACGGTACGTGAACAAAAACTGGCACTGTGCATTTGCTATATTTCAGGTTTATTTTTCTACTTGAAATATCAACCACAGCAATGAATGATTATTTACCTTGTTGCTAATAGAAAAAAAGTATACTGCATCGTACTTTGTCAGCATAGCAGCACAGTATCGACCTTCACTATTATAAAAGCTTGAGAAATTCGACTAGTTTAATCGTACGTTAAAATACGCGAGACTACACAAGACAGCCTACATCAACATGGAAGGAGATAAGTTTTACATATGAGAGTGGAACAATTAATACTAGTTTAATAGTAGTCGGATTCTTTGAATTCTTCCGCCGCTTGCAGCAGCTATCGTTATATCACAAGTTGAAATACGGAGAAGAAGAAAAACTATTGATTAAAAGTAGAACTATTCAAATGTTATAGCTAACGTAAGAAATCAAACGGCCCAACAACGAAAAAGATTGTAGGACGAATGGATTATATTGACGACATATAATGATTTAATTAATTTAAAATAGTGGCGATTATCGATGAAATTATTCGAATGCTCCACTTTTCTATGTATAAACATTTTGAGTTCAGTGGGCTGCAATTTTCCCGACAATTGGACTATGTTATCGAGGAGCTTTCTTCTAGATACGAATAGTGATCATGAATCCTACCTGATATACTTCCAAAGTTTTAAGTATCTCATAGAAAAATTTTTCTTATGAAAAACATTATTTAGGTATTTTTCAGTAATATTTTCTGGCCACTTTTAATCAGAATTGATTAATCTTATAGTAAAAGTAACTTGTTAGTATAAAAATAAATCCTAGAATCATTTAATTTAGAACGAAAATAAGTATTTTCCATGATCTCTAGAATTTCATATTGTTATTCTAAATTTATCTATAATTTTTTTTCTTTCTATCCGAATGTGCATTCAAATCTGATCTAACAGAATTAATGATTTTAACGAAGTTAAATGTAAATTTATTATAAAAATATTACCAAATTAAAAAATTACAGTCTGTTAAATGTAAATAATAGATTGTTACATGCATAGATCAGAATTTTAGTCATGATTGGTGCCGTAGATGTTTCAGACTAGACCTGGAGTATTTTATACACACTTCAGACTAGTCATGTAGCATCTTCGCACCATTTTTTCGCTAGCTTGGGTAAACATAGAATGAAAATCAAACGCATTGCTATTGAGCACAGACAAATTCCAACCAGAAAGTAAAGTAATCTTCTACTTCGTTGTATCATGACTCCAGTATCTTTTGCAGTCGAATGATTCACTGGAACCTAGACTGAAAGCGCTGAACGGGAGATATACATGGGCAGGACCGAAAATTGAGTGTTTGTGCCAGAAACTGGTGATGAAATCTTCGAAGAGATCAGCCGATAAGTTGAAGGGAGACATGTGAAAGGGCGGGAATAAGTGAAGTTGAGGTAAATTTTAGACGAAAATGAAACGTTTCCAAGTAAAATCACTAAAAATGGAAACGAAAGACGACCAGGGGGACAAAGGTTCTTAAGGTGGGTGGGATTAAGTCTTACCTAGACACAAACAATACATGGTTCAGCAATTTCGCGGTGCTTAGCCCAAAGTTCCATAGGGAATCAGCTCGCCGCTTTCACTGGCTCCATCACAAGGGTGAACTATTTTGTGTGACCCTGCGCTGCATCTCCCCATTTGTGCTATTAAAAGGGTCGATTGTACAAAGATCACGGTTATGGAGGCTAACTGGTGAACAGACACACAGTCAGACAGACAGAGACGAATTACGGTTTCTAGACCCTATTCTTTCACTCTAGGGAACAGCAATGAGTAGTATGTAACTATAAAATTGAATTCAATGATTGTATAGTAAAATCTTCAAATAGTTAAACATTTGATAGTCAACCATGCAAGTTTTTATTGAAACATGTACACACTGCTTTATCTCACTTGTCATGAGACGTCAGGAAGGCTAACGCGCCACACTCAATTGTCTCTTATGGTACTTTAGAATCCTATACCTCAACAGTTGCATACTTGAAGTACTATTCAAATATTCACCTTATGAAGTGTTTTAGAAGTGACAATTCATGTGCATATTTTTATGACAGTCTAAGCAAATGATTTACCACGGTGTAAGTGTTTTCATGGAGGTGAGGGTGTGGCGTGGACCTCGAACTGAGCTATAGGGAGATCGACACCCACACCCACACCCACCCGCCGCAGTCAATGGAAGGCATCAATGTTGCCCTATTTGATTTGACATCGACTGGCAAGGCAACAATGCTTAATAGCTTGATTGGTTCTAAAGTGGCCGCAACGGGTTGTGGTGAAACAACAATGGCAATTAAAAAATATACTGCTCAATATTTTAATTTGTGGGACATTCCTGGACGAAACGATGAAATATCATATTTGAGTATGGAATACATCGCTTTTTGGAAAGGTTTAACTCGAAGATTAGTACTGATTATCACGACAGTGAAAGAGAACTCGAGCATGATGAAATTACTGGATGCCATTAAACTAAAGTACGATATTGTGGTACACAAATTCGATCAGATAGAAGAAGAAGAACGAGAAAATTTTCAAAAACAAGTGACAGCTCAAATAGCCGAAGCTGGACTCAAGGGAGTCGATCATGTGTATTATGTGAGTGCGAAAAGTCCTAAAATGTTTGGCGATTGAATCAAGATGGTCGACCATATGACTAATTCTGGCAGTTGACGAAGTACTATGTTTTTGTTTAAGAGTTTCACAGTTCTCAATAAATAATATACTTCGTATTTGTATCATCTTCCATGCGGTTTTGGGTGCGAATATTCTTTCTCGCTATATTCATCCACAACTATATTCGTAAGGTATGTTTTGCGAGGTGAAGTGAGATACTGAGGTGAATTGGTAATGCCTTATGATGGTTTGAATACATCTTTGGGAGGAAATTCCAAGGGGGAAGTAACTGATTTCAATACCTGAAATCTATTTGAAATCACTTGAAATCAGCGACTTTTCTTTGATTTATTCAGGTAATCGGTTGTTCTATTTACTGCAGAAGAAAATTATGTCGCTCGAAAATAACTCGTATCATAATTTCTCTCGTTATTCCACTCTCAACACGTAAGAGAGTATGATTTTAGACTTTGTCTGAAAATCACACATTTTGTTTTTTGTTTTTTGCTACACTATAAACATCACCACTTTTAGTCTGCCACGTTATTGGGAAACGTGACTAGTGCAAGACAAATTCGTTTCGTTGGAGTTATTGGTGGTGATGCTCAGAGTGGAAGCGCTCGTTTAGTAGGTAGAGAATTGATAAAAAAAGTGGGTGTGCTATATTGACTGGTGGCTGTCCATTGATGGTCGAACTGATACAAAAAATGCAGCTATTATGCGTGTTCTTGATGCAGAGCAACACAGAGAAGGACTTACGCGTTACATTGGGGTCTTACGGAACTCAACTGACGGCAATGTCCATTTCGAACAAGTATCTCAGAGACAACGTCTTATACATAGTAACTTACGTAGTATGAATCGCAATCCAGCCAATGGAATAACGCCTGATGTGTTTGTATGCTTTGCTGGAGGTCCTGGCACTATTTGTGAACTTGATTTTGGCATAATTGCTTGACGTCAAGCGATTTTCCATGGCAATAGTGCACCAAAAGAGAACGATGAAAAATAGAACGCAACATATTATGAGTTGTTGCACATTGAAAGTTACATTTAGGAGTTCTTATGAGTGATGGCGACAAAATCATGGATATCGTAACGGAATATCTCCAAAAGGCTGTTTCTCGAAGAAAATTGTCATCAGCACAGGTGATAGTGCAGGCTACATTACAAGCTCTCCCAAGCCAACTTGCAGATATTCCAGCTTTTCCTGGTTTACCAGGTGATCTTCTCCAGCAACAGATTCACGAGCTCTCATCCTGTTGGAAAGTGTTATCAGAAGATCCATAGCGATCGAGTATGACGCCCGAATCAACTGAAAAAATCGAGCGACATATTACCGTCTGCGCCAAAAACTCGATTGAAAATCCAGTAATAAATGACTTACTACAATATTATTATAACAGTACAAGATGCCTAGAAAATATCTTCTGGTTAGCGTGCTGCAGACTAACACCTTCTACTGAGCATATCAATTTTCTATATTTTATAAATGCCGATTGATTTACATCTACATCATTCTCATTACTACTTACCTCGTACTCAAGCAAATTCATATTTACTATGAGTTGTCCCATTGCGATAGATTGTAGCGCTCGACGGCAAAAGATGCATTAAGCAACATAGAGTAACTTGAGATCGATTGTTTTATTTTTCTTGCTACAATTATCAAAGCTTTAAAATGCTGCAGTGTTATTATGTAAAAGTTCGATTGGTTTTCATTTGAAACCGTTGAAATGATTGATTGATTCATTTCTGAAGGACCTTCATATTTTGTGACTCATTTGTGCTCATTTCGAAATTACAATCATCTTTTTGCATGTGTTTTATACAGGCTGCATTTTCTTTTTTGACGTGTGCTGAATAGGGCATAAATGATGTTGATTCATCGGCAATTTTTGATTGATTTTCGAATGATTATATATTCTTGGCTCTTTGTAGATCAATTGCGTTTTCTTTTTTATCTTCATTTATGAGCGATAGTCAAACGACAACCAAAGCAAACGACTGTGAAACAACATCTTCTTTGAAGTATGCATTGTTTCTCGCACAAATACTAAGATGAAGGGCACTACTGGTATATACTTGCTTGATTGGCTAGCAGAGAAAGAGAATTTTCTGAGAACAGAAAAATCAAAAAATCGTCTTTCAGTTTCCAGTAAGATGCCTATAACTCATGCTTGATTACAGGCGTAAGTCTAAATCTTGTACAGATTAGTAGGTCTTCGATAAAAACTTTTAAGGCGTACATAATAACTGTTAAATTATTATAGTTACCTCACGAATTGAATTATTGATATTTTTTCTTAGGAATGACACTAACCAACGTGAGAGCAGAGACGTCAGACCATGTTTGCCGCGAGACGAAACCACCCTAAGTCGCTTGACGGAAGTGGTCGAGCATTTCGATCAGATGAACTTACGAGAACCACTTTTACGAGGTATATATAGCTATGGTTACGAACGTCCTGCGGATGTTCAACAGCGTGCTCTCAAACCGTGTATTTCGGGTTCGTTTTCTGCCATTTCTCTAGAGCTAAAATTTGTTCAATAAATATTCATTCTTCTTAAAGGTTATGATGTGATTGTTCAGGCACAATCAGGCACGGGAAAAACGATAGCCTTCATCATTGCAGTCTTACAACAGCTCAACATGGATTGTAAAGACTGTCAAGCATTAATTCTGGTACCAACGCGTGAGTTGGCTCAAGGGGTATAGTTTTCTCTGGCATGCAATGTTTGTTCGCCATCAACTTCTTGGTTCTATTTGTAATGTAGATCCGTAAAGTGGTTTTAGTACTAGGTGAACATATGCATGTGACATGTCACGCTTGCATTGGTGGTGTGAATATTCGTGAGAATATGAAACAACTTGAAACAGGTGTCCAAGTTATTGTTGGTACACCTGGTCGAACGTCTGATATGCTAAAGAGATCAGCACTCTGTACGTAATCTATGTATTATGTGTTGCATTTTTATCCTCTTTCACACTGTAGGCAGTGAAAATATCAAAATGATCGTATTGGATGAAGCTGATGAGCTTTTATCTCGTGGTTTCAATGAGCAAATTTATGATGTATTTACGATGTTATCAAAAAATGTTCAGGTTATTGTTGTATCGGCTACGATGCCCTGCGATTTACTTGAAATCACAGCTAAATTGATGAATGATCCTGTGAAAGTTCTTATCAAGAAAGAAGAACGAACGCTCGAAGGTATTCGTCAATTTTACGTGAATGTCGAACGTGAGGTAGATAGACATACTTGTCATTCTATGGTGATGAACTAATGTTGAATTGTTTTTATCCAGGAGTGGAAATTAGATGCGTTATATGACTTGTTCAATACATTAACGATTATACAAACCATCATCTTTTGTAACACATGCCAAAAGATCGATTGGTTAACTGAAAAACTACGTGAACATAATTTAACTGTGTCTGCTGTGGTCAGTTTCACCATGATAATTTTGAAATAACTATTTTTAAAGTCATACATTGAGATAAGCACTGATATTCTTTTCATTGTAGCATCTTGATATGGATGCAAAACAATGTAATGATGCCATGAAAGGATTTCGAACTGGTTCCAGTCGAATCTTGTTAAGAACAGATACGCTTGAATGTGATAATGATATTCCACACGTTAGTCTTGTTATCAATTACGATCTACCAACTAATCGTGAGAGCTATATTCATCGGTAAGCATCGATAATGTTGAAAGAAAATGAATTTTGTTCTTTTGGTTAAGTATTGGACGTAGTGGTGCATTCGGTCGAAAAGGTGTGGCTATCAATTTCATTATCAATGATGAACAACAATCATTATGCAACCTTGAACAATATTATAATACAAAAATCGAAGAACTGCCCACGGACATTGCCGATCTTATTTAAAAGAGATTCTTCTGCTCTTGTTCTTTGAATTGATACAAACACTACTGCGTGATTGTATCATCTTCTATCTATCATGATGCTATGAAAAATCACCTGCTAGCTAACTTCCATTAGATTCTTTTTTTGCTTACTTTCTAATTTAGATCAGAAAAAAGGATGACTAAAACTAGAATAAGTTCGTTTAGTCAAGAAATAGTTTAGTTGGGTGTTAGTATGGATGTGTGTTAGAACAACTCTATCACCACATCCGAACGAATGGAATCTCCTAGCGTGATAACTATCGGTTTCATCAATACGGTTGATCACAAAGTACAAAATCTGAACGAATTATTTAAATCAAAATCAAATTGTCATTCATCACAAATTATCCATCTTCCCTTATGATTGATGAGACAACATCAAATTCGATAGTAGTTTTGATGATGGGACACTATAATGCTTTCATATTAGGCAATAAGGGAGTTGTGCTATTTGATATAGAAGACCTGGATACCTAAACTCCTTTGCTATGCATTATTTTTGGTTGTATTAATTTTTCTGTCTTTAATTTAAATCGAATGAAAGCGACTACAAAGAACAGAATAGTAAATCAAATGCAAATAATATGCAAAGACATACAAAAAAGAAGCCAAGCATTTCTTTGTTTTCTGCTCTTTTGCATAGAAAAGAAACTCACGAACAAGATTTAAAACAATGCTGTTTTATTTCTTCATTATTCAAATATTTTTCTCATCAGCTAATTGATGTTTTTATCCTTGCTTTACTCTTGTATGACGTTACTATTGACTTGTGTCTGGATTAGCTATTTGAGAGAAGGATTAAAAAAAAGAAGAAGTCGGAAACTCTTATATTAATCTTCATTTCTTAATAACATTCAAATTACTGAATTTTGCTCAATCCATACACAAACCAGAAAAAGTACGGCAATCCGCTTTCAATCATCTCGAAGTTGTTTCTCTGCAAAGAAAAACTAATTTTCATGTTGCACAGCTGAGTAAAAAAAAGAATGAAATAACACAAGATTGATTTTTTTTCTTCGCTATATTTAACTTTCAGTTTCAATAAAAAGTGTATATATAAGATGCAGCAATATTCTTTAAAAATAATTGCATGAACTTGTCATCTTGAAGTCATTTCTTTCCTTTTTGCTTATCATTAATTTTTGACTGGTAACACATATTGAGAAGAGTCATCTGGATGAGGCCAAATGCATGCATTTAGATATTGTAGAAGACTTTGTTTTCTCATTTCAGTTTCTCTTTAAATACTTCGCTTGCATTTCCTCATTTGATCTCATCTTTTGTGATCATCATCATTTCTTTTATTCTTCAGCTGGAACGTGTAGCATGTGATGAATGTGATAAACTGAGAATAAATCTTTTCAAGTTCGTTCTAATTCTAATACACGGCTTTAATCAGATAAGTTTCTCTGAAATCATTTTTTGAAACATTTGTTTTTAATCGATCATCTATACATTCGAAACGCATGTCTCGGTTTCTTTATGTAAGGCGACCCTCTGTGAATCTATTTTTCGAAGCGTTTGCTTTTTGAATGAAACATATCTGAATACATCATTAGATGCAAATTTTCGTACTAATTACAGATTTGACATTTGTTATTTAAAAGAAACTGAATAATGACATCGAAAATCTGGTTTCTACTTTTTCAAAATAATACTGAGTGATATACCAATCGATGCAAAATGTAATTCTATACAAAAATTCCCTACGTTGTTTCGTTGCCCGTCGCTAATGGCAGCTTGTAGGTTCGAGTACCGTTTACAACTTTACTGTATAGTTAATAGGCTCTCACTTTCATTTAGCAACTTGACTTTTGCTTAGAAAAATCAATATTTTTTCGAAAACCAAATATTTCTGAGCACGTTAAGTGTCTTAAACTCGATACTTGAGCAAAACGAAATGCATAAAAAACGTAGCAATTTTACTTTTCGGGCAAATCAGTCGTATCATGACGACATCATGCGTTTCGTTTATTAAAAATTTGATATAGACACGAAATAAGCAAAATTTAACCGTTAATAAGATACATATGGCTAGTTTTCAGCGTGTCAATACAACCTTTTCTTTTCTTAATTAATTTTCTTCAATTTTTTATGTTTTTTTTATATAGTTAATAGTAGAAAGATGATGACATCGAACCCTACAACAGCAACGACGACATTGACTACGTTGTCTTGGGTTCAATGGTATATGACTTTATATGGAATGAGCGGTCTTCTGTTATTCGGGAGTGTGGGCAATATTCACAACTGTGGTGTTTTCTTCCGACGAACATGTCGTCGGAATACGTGTTCGATGTATCTATTCGCATCGTCTTCATCGTATTTGATTTCCCTAACCCTTGTTTTGTCGAGGAACCTCCACAATTTATACAAAGTTGATCCGAGCACATATTCTCTGTTTTATTGTAAATTTCGTCGGTTTTTCTCGGCCTGTATCTCATCGATTGGTCGTTTCTGCGTCGTATTGGCATGTCTCGATCGATATGCACTCTGTTCAGATCATCCTCATATACGGCCATTGATGCATCCTAAGATTTGTCTTCGTTTGATTGTTGGAATGATTGTATTTTGGATGATTTTTACATCTCATGTTTTAATATTGCAAACGATCGTCAATGGGAAAGGTTTGATGCCCGGACTGTATCCGTACTTTCCCACTGCGTAGTCAATGATAACATCATAGTTTCCTCTGTCGTTGATGATTACGGGTGTGGGTGTGGGTATTTTTACTTTCTTTATCCACACCCACACCCTGTTTCAGAGAATCATTCAAAAATTTTAACAAACAAATACTACAATTTGAAATTTCCGCTCAATTGAACCATTAACAATGGTTAGCAATGGTGAACATGACAATGACGAACTAAAAAAGTTTTGCTTTGACTAGTCTTGAATCAAACTATTAAAACGAGTAGATGTTTTTTGTACGTGTGCTATTAATTGTTTTTTAATTTTTTAAAATATAATAATATTTTAATAGTATAATGAAAAGAGACAACTGCACTGAAAAAAAATCCGCAGAATAATCAACGCTTGCCCTTGTTTTTTTCAGTAATAAACCCTCGAAGGGTTTATTCACACGGCATAAACCCATTCAGGGATTGATTAACATTGGGGTTTATTATGATACGAACAAATAGAGAATAATCTATGGGTAGTTTAACATATGAGCCCGCCGAAAGGTATATTATTCTACGATGAAGGGTATATTATTCTACATTTTGATGAAAACCATTTATTATACCCAGTGAAAATGTAAAAATACCATTTCACAAGAACGTTTATTATTCTACGCCAAAGGATTGATTATTATACGAAATAGGAAGATGCAATTAGGTTCAAAAGTACCAAGGGTAGATTCATATACGTTGGCCTAGGTAGGGATTCATTATTCTACGGTATAAGTGTTGATTAATATCCGATTACACAAAGACCGCCAGCTATAGTACCTGTGAGAGTAGATTCATATACGGTGGCCTGAGTAAAGGTTTATTGTTCTACGATATAATGATCCATTATTATTCGACTACAGAAGGGCCGTCAGTTAGTACTTGCGAAGTTCGATTCATTTACGTTGGTCTGGGTAATAGGTTTATTATTTTACGATAAATATTCGATATATAAGTTCATATATTGTAAATTCTATCATCTATTACTAGTCAGAAATTTTCCAGTCAATATTAATAGAAAAGCATAATACTATTTGCTAATGAGTTTTTTCTCATAGGTAGTTGATTTTATTTTAATTCACTATTGATTGAATAAATATCAATCTTGTTCGATGATAACAAATGCATTAAACGAGCTTACATTCACTTGTTCTTACTTTCTGTAATTATTTTTACTTGGGTATATCATAGTAATTCTTGGTGAATTATATCATCTATATTGTGTAAGCAAAACTCAATTCATACAAATTGGATGCAAGCGAAGACCATAATTGACTGAAACTATATTTGAACCCTTTCAAACCAAAAATATATCGCTACTGACTTATTCGCAAAATATAAACCATTATCAAAGAATAATTCTATCTATAAAACCATCTCTTAAATAAGTCACAAAAACTTTTCTGTCAGCCTTGGGGCATCAACAAATTTTAACCAGCATCCAGTTCTGAGCAAGCTTCTTTGAATTAGGTTTGTCTTTTGTTCATAAATGTCACTTATTATCTAATTATATTCTTTAGGTCGTATGAGTAAATAGTGCCTGCCAGATGAATTTTCGAATTCATTCACGGGCTTGCTGTTTTTAAAACAGTAAGGGGCGACCCTGGGCTGCTGGTAGCCAATTGTGTGGTCTTGAGATTAGAAACCTCTCGGCTTTTGACGCTAAACTATTTCTGCTAACGAAAAGCAGAAAATAAAATGTGCGAATGCACAATCCCGTGTCTTTTTTGTAAACTTTTATTGTCATTCCACACTAAAGACAGTAATACGGATATGGACCAACGAACCAATGAATAGCGTCCCTATTCTCTTATAATGTTTTGATATCCATACTTCACATCTACATTTTCACATCTTGTATGGACATCTTTACCTTCACCTCTGTAAAAGAGCTAAGCAATACAGTCTGTTAACGATTATCTAATTCTTTTCTAGTACATAATATCCATTGATAGAGTTCTTTGACAAAATTCTAGCTTGACATGTTAATGTTTAGGCTTCGTCCTTCCATCTCGAAAAGAACGAATATACCTCCCAGTTATGTTCCCAAAACTCTTTCATCCTATATCTTAAGTTATTCTTTTAATAAACATATATTTTACCACATTATCTTAAGTCTCTCAAAGTTAAGAGATAAAACACCACAATTATTGATTTTATTTTCCACTAATGCTCTTCAATAGGATTAGCGCATTAACGTAAGTGTTTTTATGATCTACATTTAGAAGTTTCGTCTAATGTTACATGTTGTTCTTTACTGGTACATCAGAAGAGTTCATTAAGATATTATGTTCACCAGACTTACGCA